GCTCGACACAAAAGAATTAGCGACCGTCGAAAGAAAATATAGTTTTACCGTATATTTGTGCGGACACTGTAAACTTGTCATACAACAAATGTTTATTTGTTACCACCTGTTTGATTGAACATTTCTTTTGTTCTAAGTCGTATACAAATCCGTGGCATTTCGTTTCGTTTTTACATTTACTACAGCATTCATCTATTGTTAAAATTGCTTCTAGCACATATAAATCGCTATCGTAATTATTCCTGTAAGATTTAAAATAAACACCAGGACAGTTTTCTACAATCATATACTTTCATAATTTCTCTTATGGGAAAAGAAATACAATCTACCTTGACATTGTTCAATTTTATTTGGATCTAATACCCATCGCTTTTGTTCATAAACATCAATAACATCCTGACAATTGTTGCAACAGGAATTTGTACCATGACAAAAGCCACAGTTTTCTGAAAATAATATCCGATAAGATTTTGTATTTAAAAATAGTTAATTAAGTTATTTACTTGTTGATTCATTATTCGTGATGCTGGTGTTCGCGATATTAACGATTGTCGAAGTACTAAGATTTATTACTGATAAATAGAGAAAAGAAATTTAGATAGAAAAAAGAATGAATATTTCTTCCATACATGTTGTTGTTGTTGTTGTTGTTGCTGTATGATGGTTTGTTCTTACACGATTCATTGTACTGTATGTGGTTCCTGTTAGTTGGCGATCTGAAGACGATAGCAAAGACATGTTTGTCTTATTCGTCGATATAGACGACGTTTGTTCCTGGAGTTCATCATCTAAACATGCAACGAGAGAAATGTAACACTTTCACGCTTGTCTTCGAGTGCTATTAAGATTATTGAGAGATATTAATTCCTTGCAAATCCAGCATTTTCCTAGGTTGTTTCTGGAAAACCCCGTGTAGAATATGGCTTACACAGGTCTGCATTTTTCGGGGAGTCCGAACAGGGGTTAAAGTCGAAACAATATAAAACTTAATAAAGCTGAAGCGAATTTACTCGATTGGTGAAAGAATCAGATCCTTCCTTCAAAACAAATAGGGAACTTAGGATGTGTTTAACTCCACAGAACATATGTAAGAATTGTAGAAGAATTGTTTGTATTTTCATTTTCTACATTCGAATTCTACAATGCACAATATTTCTTATTAGTTTAAATTCGACCACTAGAGCTTCTGGGAGAATTGTGTTTTGATACATGCTCAAAAAATGTTCTAAATTCAATGTTTTCATCAGAAAGCAAAATTTTGCTCGAAGAAACAAAGAATGAAAAACTTTAAAATCTAAATTACTCAATTTGATAAATTTTTTACTCTGGAAAACCAAAGCCAATATAAAGGTTTGCTATGAACGTTTTGTAGAAATATTATAAGAAAGCGAGAAAAGCAAATATCAAGCTACTTTGTACCAGACTCGTGAAGTTTCTGAATTCTACAGAAATCAATGGTGGTTTAGAAACAAGAATAGCCATCTATCGAGCCCATGTGTCGATTATAGTTTCAGTTTTACTTAGAGCCTAACTTTTGTTCGTGATTGAGATTTGCTCTGGTTATTCACTACTGTCGACTTTGGACAAATTCTGTTTCTTTTGTGAAACGAACTACAGCTGTCCCAAAAGCAACTATCGGATAAAAAATTTGCATAACCATTCATTCTTTACTTAACTTTATATTCGTTCTTTTGTGTCTGATGAAATGTTCCAAATGCTAATCGTTATATTTCGAAAATTTTTGTATAAAAAAATTAGTGCGAAAAAATAATAATACCTGTGACAGATGTAAATACTTATAATAGCGTGTAGAAATTGTTGGGCTGGTCGTAGTTGAACGGAATCTTTGTCAGAGTCGTACCAGGTCTCATTTTGTAGAACATGGGTTTTGTGATAGCTCGATACAACTTTTTTTTACAGGCTTTTAAACTATTCCGTTTTGCGGAGCTACCTCCTTTGTATCAAATTCCACTAGTAGCTATTCCTTTTATTAGTTAACTTTATCTGAAAAAAATTTACTACATTGGCTACACTTTCCCACATGCTGGTGTGGAACAACTATGGTTCAAGAAAACTACATTCTGTCGTTTTACCTCAGACGAAAGCAAATAATTATTTTGTTATATGAACTGAAATTTCATCTACTTTATTTTTATATTCCATTCAAAGAGTTTTGCACTACATAATTTATTTATGAAAAAAGGGTTCGGAATCTGAATTCCACTGTAGTGAATCCGAACATTTTTTTAAGTATTAACAAAAATTTTCAAATATATGGAATAAAATTTGGAACGTTTCTCTGACAAATATAGAAAACCGATTTTAAGTTGGATCAAGAAATGAAAGAGTCATTTTTTATCCGAGAGTGACCGATAGTGACGTTAATGTTCAAGTACATTACGATTTCATCGATGTTTAGGTCCCATAATAGCACGTGAAACTATCTGTCAATATTCTCGAGTTTCGCACTAATGGCAGTTTTACAGTCAGGAGAACGGGTGAAATATGAGAAATAGAAATATACTTACACGACTTTATTGCCATAAATGTAATTGTGCCTATTGTGAGAAGAACAGCAGTTGAGAGAAGAATGACAATTACACGTGGAATTGGTTCTTTTCTAGTAGTTGGAAAGAATAATGATATGAGACTCAAATATTTTAAAGTAAGTAAGTTACTTACGTGGCTGACTGTTGTCTAATTTCCTAATCCAGGAAAAAAAAGGTAAAAAGTTTAGCATTTGTCTTTACTCTTACAAGTTCTTACCGCTGGAATAAGGCTTTCTATTTTGGCTACATTGGAGGATGTTTTGCGTCGAGATAAACGACGAATGATATCAACTAGAATTGGTAGAATGAATTCGAACGCTGTCGTCAGCCCGCCAAACAGTCCAATGATTGTGGTGGAAACAACCAATAAATCATACCTTTGAATATATGTGTACGTACAATATTTCGGCGAACATTCATTATAATAATTGTCAAATAAACTCTCAATGTTCCATTGTTCAATCATCAATTTACTCAAAATATATTCGATTGTGGTGTTTGGGTGAAACTGACTTGTTGGCCATGTTGTATTGATAGCGCTAACATCTGATCCTGCTGAAATCATAGTGACACACGTTTGATTGTATAAACATTCTAATGATGATTGAAGAATAGTCTCAATCGGTAGACAACCAATGTAGAAACCGGGTACAATTGTTTTATTCAATACAGCTGGCTCAATACATGTTGACATTCTTGCACAATCACATTGGCCACTGTTATATTTAATACTCTCAACTCCTAAGTTTGGATTTTTGGCATAATCATTATCTTTGATGTAAAATCTGAAGTTGGTTCCATACGCTGATATGAATTGATTTGCAACAATTGAGTCTTGAATTAAATGAAATGTTTGGAGAAAACTGTTTGCTATTCTAGTTTGAAATTTATCGACGAATGATGACGTTTTAAGTTTAAGTAGTGGTGGTGGATAGAGTGTTGAACGTATTACATATGTTGAATAAAATTGTTCAAGTGCTTCAGAAATAGTGTGATTTGCTAATTTACAAAGAAGAGCAAGTGCTTGAAATTGTGATGTATAATATAAAATATCATTATTATTAGATAAGTGGTCGATCCATTCTTGTGTGATGAATACACTAGAACACAATTGATGATAAATAGGTTGAAGTTGAATGAATTTATCGTATTTAACGAATAAGTGAGAACAGTGACACTCGAAGTTTTGTGAATATTTGTCACGTAATTCAAGATATTCTAATAAAGACGGAGCATCAAACAGAGTCGTTTTTGTACGTTGTAAAACAGCATTATAAACAGTCAAAACGTACAATGTTACTGTTAATAAAATGATGTACAATCGTGTCGTTCGTCTCTCATATCGAATATCTTCGTCCGAGGATAATGTACTCTCGAACAGATTAAATTCAACAATTTTTGTATGAATAAATCGTAGAATAGCCTTCACGGAGAACCGTACATGTACTGGTAAGCATCGACCTATAACACAGTAAATGTTTTGCAAAAATAAGAGAAACGCAACAAAAATGCATCATCGCCAGCCGTGTTTCCGCTACTGAATATAATGAATGATGAAAGAACAAGACGTAATCAATCGCTTTTTTCTTCATATTTTAAAGGAATTAAAGAGAAAAACGAACACTGATCTGCGGTCATCTGTTAGTTAAGGTTACATCCTCTTTGTTGGATGAATGTTTGTTTAAGCTAGATTTTTCAAAAAATATGTGTTATTACAGAGCAGGGTCATGACAGAGATGTCTTTCTAAACTTCAAGCTATACTGATTCTGTCGACATCTAATGATTGCATTGAGATGTCATCCACTCCTACTTAAATTTTTACTACTCCCCCATAATAGAGGGCCATCCTCTATTAGAAGACCATTGTCCATTAGATGACGCGAAAGTCAAATAGAAGACCATGCGGCTTGTCCCAGTGTGACGCTGTGACATTTTTGACACACTGAATCGCTCTTATCTGAAAAACTATTACCGCTAGTGAGTTCGTTCAAGCGCCATTCCACGCAGCTCAACGCCTTCTGTCTCCAGTAAAAAAAAGAAAACATTTGGTTTGAGTTAAGCAGTTTTATAGCAAATTTCCAGACGCTGTGACAAAAATGGCCCTTTTTTCGTTGGTATCTAGGGAATTTTTGAAAATTTTCAGAGAAAATCCTCGGTGAAAATTTTTATCTGCAAGCGGTTATGTCATGGAGAGAATGGTATACACGTTAATAAAAAAAATTTCATTCCTGGATCCTCGTGAATTGCAGAAGCGTTATTTTATTACTGTGACGTTGTGACATTTTTCGTGACGCCATGACACTCTTTTTTGGGAGAGCAGCCTTTGGTACTCAGCGAGGTCAAAATAACTTTATTTTTATTTTACCAGCGCTCTTGCTAGGTACTCACGATTTACGGGAGAACTGACACTCTAAACTTCAAATCCCGACTGAAAAATAACCCAAAACCTGGAAGTCTCTGGACAGCCTGATGCTCGGTGAAAAAATTCATTGTCAAAACAAAATGAGCCGTTTTGTAGAGAATTTAATTTTCCAACGACTGGTGTACTTTCTATATTTTTTAGACAAAATCTCTAGGTCAGAAAATTGAAATTCAACTTTTTTAAAAATTAAACACAAAATTTTTTTCGCTGACAACCAAAATTTTGTTTTAAAAGAACACGAGATTTGTAATCAGCGTGAAAAACTGCGTCTGGCGCTGTACTTGAACCACTTCTGCTATGGAAAACTTAATCAGCGAAGTATCGCGTTATGTGGACAAGTCGCACGACCGTCTAACTTCCAGAAGACCACTGGCCTTCTATAATGTCCGCAAAAAAAATTGAAAAATCCCCGATATCTATAGTGCAATTTTCAAAAAATTTCGCCAAAATGTTCTTCTAACACTGGATGGACTTCAAGTACGTGAGGGATTACCGTTGGACTACTGGCAGTTGACAGAATTTGACCGCAGTAGGAGGCTGCTCTTTAGAACTCGACTTACCGGGCAAAATAGAACACCAGGTGGCCTTCTATTTTGGAGACCGGAGGTTACAGATCCAAAAGGCTATCTCAAATAATATGATTTTTAAAACTATTTTGGTGCCGTAGCAGTTAAAGTACGAATTGATGGTCGGTATCTGTGAAAACTGCTGTATATAGGACTGAAAATAATGTGTTACAAATGTAAGTTAAGTTTTCTGAAAACCGACTTTTAACGCATTCTAGAGAGCAGAGCTACTTGTATAAAAAGCATTAGAAAGAGAAGAAATGTTTTCTTTATGTTTTCAGTATATAAATGACTGACAATTTAGAGGCACCACATATGAAAATAAGGAAGAGAATGTGTATGATGTTCAAAGCGAGTGTAGAAGATAGTTCAGATGTAGAATCTAATGATATCATAAGACGTTTCCATAAGATTTCTTGAAAACTGTTTAACTTTGAATACATTTTGATTCGCTACTGAGAATGCATCGTTGTATCCGGTATGTAAGGATCTTGAGAAATGTCTCGAGGAATCTTTAGAGTGTACGCGAATTTCTGAGTTCGATAAAGAAGATGTTTCATTGTTTTTGTTGTAAACATGTGAACGTGACTCGAAGTGTTTCTGAACGGCATAAACAATTCGAAAAACTGTCAACTAACATCAACAACTGAAGCAAAACATTTACTTTTAATTTTTGTTCGAATGATTATTAGATATGGTGTGATGATTTGAAATACTGTTAACAGCCCGCCAACTAAGCCGATTGCTGTTGTTAGTACATAAACATGATCATTTCGTGTGTTGATTGTATAATGACAATATTCTGGCTTACAGGTAAGATAATAGGCGCCATACGATATATTCGTGTTCCATATTTCTACCATTAAATTTAGAACAATATCGTTGATTTTTGTAGATGACTGATACGCAGTAGATAGAGATGAATTAAGGGGTAAAACATCGATATTGTATTGAGTGTGTGATTTGATTATTGTCAAACAAGTGTCATTATAAAGGCATTCAAGGGTTGATGATAAAAGTCCGTCAATTAAATAACATCCACGAAAAAAGTTTGGTACGACAAATAGAAGAATACGGTCTTCATCCCGAATATTCATTTCACCAAGACATTTTGAATTGTTTAAACAAGAACAGATACTGCCATCCGTTTGCTGGAATTGTCCAATAGTTGATGTTACTTTACTTGTAGTTTGATTCCATTGAAGTTCCGTTACAACCGAGGTAAATAATTGATTTAAATGGATTGAGTCACGCATCATTGAAAATGATCGTGTAAATGTATTCGGCACTTGCTTCTTAAATATGTTAGTAATAGATTCTATTTCTGGATTGAATAATGACAATGGTACTACTGTTGGGGTTATGTAGTCGATTGAATAAAATCGAACAAGTGCATCTGCAATTGTATCATTGGCCAATTGACAGAATGTTGCAAGTACACGAAACAACGGCGCACCACTCAAACGAAAATCATCGAGATAAAGTTCTTGAAATTGAACATATAGGGAATCGAACCATTCATTTGTGATGAATATGCTCGAACATACTTGATGGAATGATGGGTAAATATGGATGAATTCGCTGTATTTAACCGCTAGTTGAGAACAGGGACAATGAAGAGAATCAGAATATGTTTGCTGCAATCGTTCATATTCGGACAGAGTAGGTAATTTCACTTCGGTTATTCTTGTTCGTTTCGATATTATCGTATAGACAATAAGGACAGAAAATGTTGTTGAAAACAGCATTAAAAATAAACGGGTTGTTTCTCGTTCGATTTTAATATCTTCGTCATCGACTGATCGACTTTCAAACAAATTTAGCGTTCTTATCCGATAATCTAAATTTTCTACTAGAGTTTTGACTTTTGTTCCTAAAATCAATCATTATTCGAGTGATTGTTATACATTCGTATCGTTTTGGTTAAACATAATCACCTTAACTATTAAATGTGTCTGCTTTTTGACTTAATAAAACTGACAAGATGCTACACCTTTTGTAAAATCGTGAGAACTGTTTACCTACCATTTTCGCGAGATATTTTCAATTGAATGATAACATTTTTTCTGTATCCAGTCCAACGAAATATACTTTTTTTAAAATATTTTTGCTAAAAGTGGAGTTCAGTAGCACACATCGCAGATAGCTCAACATTGAGGATTTGACGATCTTTCAATCGCGAAATACACAGCAGATTTAGGTTTTTTTCAGCAAAGCATCTAATCTATAAAGTTCTTTTCTATTCATCACTTACTCAATACACCAGATGTTTTTTTCATTCTTCGAATGGTTGCTATGATCAACGGCGTCGTAATTCTTAATGTTGTAGTTAATCCACCCACAAGTTCAATGATCGTGGTTAAAATATTAATATAATTTGTTCGTTTAACATAAGTATAGGTACAATTGACTGGATTGCACATATGATAATAGGATGAATAATTGATATTTAAATCCCATTCTTCCACTGCTAACTGATTCAACAGGCTCCCTACAGATGTGTTTAATGGAAAGCGACTATGCAACAACGGATCAAGAGCATGAGCGTTCATTGGAGATGACGAATTTATGTTAGATTGGATAGTGTTGATACACGTTTGATTGTAAAAACATTCAATTGAAGATTGACGTATCGATTCAAAAGGAAAACAACCTCGATAAAAGTTTGGAATGTTAAACAGAATTGAGCCTCTATGATAGAATGTTAGTGGCCAAATACAGGTTGGTGTTAGATCACAGCTACAATCTGATTCGCCGAATATAATATAGAAATACGCCATGTCAAGTTTTCCGGTTTGTTCATCAAGTACACCTAAAAAAAGACAGTGACCTCCTTAAAAGAGACCGCCTGCACACTCCATAAACCTTTTACTCTCCATTTCATAGGACAATGGAGTTGCTTATAACTTGAATAACTCTTTAACAGAAGCACGTATACAGGTGCGGTTTGCGTTGTTAGAAAGAGAAAAGATTACTTTATCAAACGATATAACATTCGGTCTACTTTGACTATCCGATGGCGCCATCTATCAATTCAACTTTTTAAAGTCGCTTTTTCTCTAACAGTTCGGATAGAAGGGCGATGGTTTTTTCATTCATATGATAGAGACATATGTCCTTTTTCATTTAAGACCACCCGTAAATCTATAACTATTACCGTTCCGGACCTACAGGCATGCCACGGATCCATATGAGTCAATTGCATTTTTTTTGTATCATTCCCCCAAAAAATGAAAGTGATTTTATCAAAAATATGAGTCTTACGTTTTGTTCCCCGCCTTTTTTTGAGTATGTGTGTGAAGTTCCCTACTACCGAAGTCCAAATGGCTAAGAAAAATTCAATGAAATATCGTTAATCCATCGAAAGTGGATTTCTTAAAAAACTAGGCCGAAACTGCACTGACCCGTTACATATTATATATCAATTGATAGATCTCGATGAGCTGTACTCTTTTATGATGCGTACGATTTAGTTTTTTTCTTTCTATCATTCCTTTTACCGAAAAATCTGGATTTTGTTAGCATAATTCATGCAAAAAACTGATTTGCGGATTTTCAAGTCTATTATCTCGAGATCGGTACAAGGAATTGAACTCAAAATTTTCTGTGGTAGTGGGATGATGCTTGGTAAACAGAATAAAAAGAACATTTTGAAAATCGGTTCACAAGAACGGACTTTATTTAATAAATACGCCAAAATTGTAATGGTACAAAAAATGCAATTGACTCATATATGCGAGCTTCTTTTTATGTTTTTTGAATAAAAATCAATTCAATATAGGGGTAATCAATTATTCTGATCACAGTGGCGATCTCAGTTTCCTTCCAGCATTCTTTCCTAGTCCATGAAAAGAGATTTCCTGCCAAAAAGGTCTTCATTCGAACAAGTATTTATTAGAAAAGTACAACAAAAGGCATCTCATTCATCATCATCAGAGTTATTATCTAAGTTCGTATCATCATTCTTCAAAGTGGGTTCGATATTCTCTTCGGCAAATTAATCCTCTTTTCTGAAAGTCATTTCATAGTTATGTACATGGTTATAGAAAGCAATGGTAGTAGGACGATCGAGAACTGCCATGTATTCGGCACTTAGGCGACGCACATCGGCGATAGTGAACAAGGTATTGTTAGTGGTCACGTAAGTCTTCAGTTGTTCAACCTACTATCAGTGAAAAATCATTTTCCTGGACTAGGAAAGAATGCTGAAAGCAAACCGAGATCACCATTTTGATCAGCATAATTGATTACCCCTATATTGAATTGCATCTACCTATATTGATTGTGCATCTCCCTCTAACTCAATGCAATTTGAAAGGTCTATATAGGTAGAAAACACTGTAAAATTTGGCGCACGTTATGTGAAATCTTCAGAAAACCACATGAATAGAGTTTTAGAAGTATATACCCGTCTGGAAAAAAAATAGTTGCCCTCAATTTTTTTTAATATATCATCACCACAGAAATACATTTTAAAAAGAATAATTCTATATTCTGAAAGCGCTCGGAGTTCTCGGTTACGTTGTATATTTGTCTTGTCTTACATTTATTCGCCGAAAAAAAAATTAGAAATAACATATTCGTAATCAGCTTCGCGAGCTCTGTCCAACCATGTAAAATTCAAAGAAATCTATCTTTCGCTCAACTTTTGCATTACTGAAAAATCAAAAATGCTAAAAAACTATTGCATTTTCAACCTAAACGAAGCTTTTTCTTTTGTGCCAAGAAAAAACGTTGGTAATTAAATTTTGCATAGTATTGTCTCTAAGTTCAACTCTGAAAAATGCTTTCTTTTCTGGAAAACCAAGTTACTGTATGCGATTTCTAACTAGCTTCCACTAGATGAAATCGTGTTAGTCGATTCGCTACTAGCGGCAGCGGTCGCTATAGCACCCGTTCCATGGTGTGAACGTTTATGTAGCTAGCTGCAACGGGTATCGAAACCAGCGTAGCTAGCTGCGGCGCCCGCTAACTCACTTCAATACTTTATTTTATAGTTAGCTGCAGCGGGCGCTACTAGCTTACTTTTTCATGCTTGGGTTCAGTTCGAAAGATTGCTCTCTATGGCAAGCATCGCTTAGCTAAACTCCGAGGCTTCTATCGCTTTTCCTTCCTTCCACTCATACTTTACTAGATTTCTAGAGAACCTTATGCATCTTTCTTCTGTTCTGAACGTTCTAACAAAAGAGAAACAGAAAAGGTAGGATCGATCTGGTCCTATGGCTTTTCGTAACACTG